GAAAATTTGTTCTAAGTTGCAATTCTTGTCAACGATTTAAACCCAGCCAACAGCTTGCTGCCGGACATATGCTGACTCAGCTCGCCGAGGAAACATGGGTCATGGTGTGCGCAGACTTTATGGGACCTTTACCCAGATCTAAACGAGGAAATAATACACTCCTGGTTTTCATCGATAAATTCACAAAGTGGGTGGAACTTATACCTTTGCGCAGCGCGACGAATAGTGGCGAGGTTCGGTATACCAAACATATTCATCACGGACAATGGGACCCAATTCACAAGTCGTAGCACGTAGATTCTTCACGCAGTTAGGAGTCAAACAGCAGTTCACCGCCCCATACACGCCACAGGAAAACCCAACAGAGAGAACCAATCGCACGATTAAAACCTTAGCCAGTCAACTCACCGAAAGGGTTCAGCGAGACTGGGACGAGTATATACCAGAAATAACCCTGGCAATCAATTCATCGGTATCAGAGACGACAGGATTTACGCCAGCTTATTTGAACCACGGCTGCGAACCAAGACTCCCAAACAACGTGTACGATAGGCTGACACCGGGTAGCGGAAATATCATACAAGACCCTAGTGACAAGGCAACGAAACTAAAAGAAATTATAACTTTAGTCAAACAGAACACTCGTTGTGCAGCCGCAGAGCAAGCCAGACATTACAATCTCCGACGTCGGAATTGGAAACCAACGGTGGAAGACAGCGTTCTACTTAAGCAACACACACTCTCGAAAGCAACCGACCACGTGGCAGCTAAATTGTCACCTAAGTTTAGTGGACCATACAACGTAAAAGCATTTAAGTCCCCAGTGATTGTAGTACTCACAAGCACAGACCACAAGGGGACCAGAACGGCACACATCAGTGAAATAAAGCCACACATTAAAAGCTGTCAAGTAAAATACTACACCGACACGCTCTTACCCCATGCTCCCCAGCCTAATAAACACAAGCGGTAAGAAATAGGGGCGACTAATTTGGTGTTTCTTTTACTTCGATTACAGCACACATCAATAATTCCCACATCAACGCGCAAAATTGACTAAGATGCGTATTCAAGGAACCGAACATGCGAATGGCGAGACATATCCTACTGGCGACCCCACTCCACCGAAGACCACAGCAAGCCTGGACTCTAAGGAAAACTGTGCCATGTATTGCCGCGAACTCTTTGGTAGCGATTCCGAAGAAGAATGGCCGTTACTACTGAGAAGTTTAGCTACAGCAGGTCAAAGTGAACGGCCGATCGTGCAATCAAAAGCCGAACTAAAACCACAACCAGTTCCAAAGCAACCGGCAATAAATCAACCACTAATCCGACCAACGAAAGGTACTGGTAGCGCTCTTACCTTCGGGAAAGTAGGGAGGGAGTGTGAGGATCAAATTTAATATACAAATTTAAACCCCACTAACTAAGTGGACAATAAAATTAATCAATAGAATTGTGGTGCAAAATAGCACTTTGCTTACTTGAAATGTTTCGTGTCACTTGCAATGGGTAAAATTTAGGGTGCAAAATACCACTTTGCTTACTTGAAATGTTTCTTGTCGCTTGCAATGGATAAAATTTAGGGTGCAAAATAGCATTTTGCTTACTCGAAATGTTTCTTGTCGCTTGCAAATTTGTATAAAAGGAAGCAAAATTATGGGTTGCGTGCTATTTGTGATTTAACACCATTGCAGGCCGTACCTTACCGACTCTCCGGCTTGTCCAGCACTCTCATCGGATACAACACTTCAACAATTCAACGCCTCAAGAATCAAACGCTTCCGGTTTTCGTTTTGTCCAACGCCTCAACAGTCTAACGCTTCCGGTTTTCTGTTTTGTCCAACGACTTCAGCAGTTCAACGTTTTTGTTTGTTCAACGCCTCAACAATCTAACGCTTTCGGTTTTCTGTTTGTCCAACGCCTCAACAATCAAACGCTTCCGGTTTTCCAGCGCTCTCAACAATCCAACGCTTTGGTTTTAGTTCATCTATAACTTATAAAATCCTCATTAATTTTAATAAACATCATAAAAATACGAAACACAGTGTCTCCTGTTCTTATTCAAAAATTCTTTAAACGTACCCCTGGTATACTCGCTGAGTTATACCCCGGCTGTACGATCACACCAAAATGTATGATCACACGCTGAATCAAAGGTTGAAATCAACTGTTTGCAAGTACTGAACTCTTAAATCCAGTAGTTATGTTGACTTATTTGAACACGAGAACCACTGAGCACTTGAACCCAGTGATTTGAAGATTGTCCTAAATTATCCTAATTACTGAACACTTGAATCCAGTAGTCAGGTGCTTATATGGTGTAAATTTAGCACTTGTACCAAATCTACAAGCTATTAGAACGAACAAAAAAGAATCGATAACGAATGTGGCTTCGCATCAATTGAATTGTCAAAAATTCAATTGTGCCTTTTATTTAAAATTGATAATTAATTTGCAACAAATAAATTAACTAAAATAACCTTGACCATGCATGCCAAACAATGAACTTATTGCAAACTGCAAGAGTGCATTTTCTTGCAGACGAAATTTGACGCTTTTGTTTTCATGTGCCAACAGAAGCGTGTGACGTATTTTGGGCATTGCATTGACAACGTTATTTTTTACACCAAATATATTTAACACAATTATTACAATACAAATAAAAATAACAAATTATTCATACAAGATTAATGACAACAAAATATTCATATATAATAATATAACATAATATAAACAAATATTCAACATTCTCCCCCGCGTTGAACAACCGTTCAACAATATGAGCCTCTAGCTGACAGGTAGTCAGTCCGACTATATGTTGATAAGGAATTCTCGTGACTGTCGACGTGGCATGGGTATAGGTGTCGTGCGGGTGGCTTCTTCATCGGATGGAATTTCAACATGTTTTTTCTGCAATTTCTTCTTCATCATGATTATGATTAATATCAGCCCTATAACGAGTGCAGCGTAAGCTATGGTGAAGCTGTGGTACTTGTGTGACTGAAATTGATTTGGAAGATCATTTATCTGGTATGACTGTAACACCTTCTGCAATACTGTGAGTTCTTTAAGCTGTTGATCGTATTGGTTGTTGCGTACCGTTGACAGTGTACTGTTGCCGCTGTAAGCATCTGATGTCTTCATAGGGGGTTGTAGCCTTAATTCGGAGATTGTACCAAGACTACTGTATAAATATCTTGCCGTGCTTGCAATTATTTGTTGTCCTTGCACGGAAACAAAGTTGTGTTTAAGCACGCAGTCTGGATCGATCGTCAATAATCCTGAACCTTTTAGATTTAGTGGAATGATTTCCTTATTACATACTGCAGTTGCTCGTGAAGATGTTGATGTCGCATAAATCCATTGATTTTTGTGATTCAATGGAATCCAGGTCAGCTTGTTGATAGTGTGTTTCAACCGACAATTTGGTATTGTGTTGTAGTTGAATAGGTTGACCTCACACGCACATACTTCGGAACCAAAATTGTATCGTATGCGGACGTTGGTGCAAAGAAATTCCTCTTCCTTAATGGTCTCACAAAGACTTAATTCGGATTTTATAAGAGGAAAATATTGATCATGCTGCGTATTAATAGCCAAAATAGAACTGCAGGAGTCAATTACCGTCATGGAGTCATTTACCCAGTTCGGGATTGGAATTAGCTGAAACAATTCAAATCGTTCATGTTCAATCAAGGATAATGTTATACTAAAAACTGCATGCTGCTGTGTGATTCCACCTTTAACCTTCATTACTCTGTTAAGGGATATTAACTCATCTTCTGGCATCGGTAATTCTAATGATGGTGATAAATGAAGTTTGATTTGATTAGCTTCCTTTTGTAATTGTGTTGGTGTCAATAACAATAAGATGCTCTAACTGAGTATCAGTTAGAGCATCTATAATGGCAGATTGTATCTTCTGTAGATTATGTGCTACCAGTGTTAATTGAATGGCTCCTGCATTGAAAACTTGATTGAGCCGTAATTGATTTACCTCTCTATTTGTATCTTTTATTGAATTTATCAATGCCTTTATTTCATTGTCAATGTGGTCAAAACCTTCTTGAACTGCTATTTTATCTTTCTTCATTATGTTGATTGTTGAATCGACAATTGATGTCTGATTCTTAAATAGCGTCAATAATTGTATTTCATTTTGTTTCACTTCTGTAATTATATTTGACATTCCTTTGGCATATTCTGAATCTAATACTCCAAACAGTGAATGTGCAATATTGCCTACAAGGTCAATTGCTCCTCTTTTGAAGAGATGATCATGAAGTAATTTACCATCGAGTTGTAGTTCGGATTCAATATGTTTAAAGTGATTAACTGTATTCGCACATGATGCGTTTGGTTTCATTTGTTGACAAGCTTGATGTAACGACATTATTCCTGTGTTTAGAGCTGCTGCTTCCGTCCAATAAAGACTTAAAACATAATAAACTAGTAGATTCCATTCAGTGGTTGATATGGCAGTTGTGCCCAGATTTTCAAAGTGAATACCCAAATTTGTGCCAAACCTTTTATTGTCAATTGGAGATCCTATTACTATTGGCAATATCAGTAATAATGTAAGTAATACAGAACAGTACAAATTGGTAGGCAGTTTTCTACGCTTTGTCTTGGGCTCTTCATACGATTCTTTTTTATCTTCAATAATCACGTTTCAGGAGGTACTTCGTGATCAGCTTCAGTCATTGTTGGTTGATCATCTGTATTTACAGGCAGTATAGCTAATCGATGAATTGGGCGTTTAAAAATGCCTGCCGATGTTTTAACATCAGCTACTCGGATATGTCCATCTGTACCCTTGTACACATGTACAATTCGTCCCAAGGGCCACTGCATCACTGGGACGTTATCTTCTTTGATTATAACCATGTCCCCTAACTGTATGTTGGCAGATTGTGTTTTCCATTTGTTACGTTGTTGCAATTCCATCAAATATTCGTTAGACCAGCGTTTCCAGAAATTATGTTTTAATTGGGAAACTAGGTTGTAAGAGCTTCTCCAATTAATAAGTGTCCTGGAGTTAATGCTGTCAAATCAGTTGGATCATTGGACATTGGAGTCAATGGTCGTGAATTTAATATCGCTTCAATTTCCACCACTACTGTTTCGAGTTCTTCATACGTCAATGATGCTGTTGAAACGCTGCGTAGTAACAAATATTTTGCGGACTTTACGGATGCTTCCCATAAACCGCCAAAGTGTGGAGCCCCTGGTGGAATAAAATGAAAGTTTATTCCTGTGGTACTGCAGGCAGAGATTATTGCTTCTTGTCCTTCATTAGAATAAATGCTTTCATCTAATTCTGCTAACTGGTTTTTGGCGCCTACGAAGTTTGTTGCGTTATCACTGTAAATATTCAAACAACGCCCTCGTCGACTTATAAATCGTTTTAATGCTCCAATGAAAGCATTTGTTGATAAGTCGGTCACTAACTCGAGATGTACCGCCTTTGTAGAAAAGCAACAAAAGACAGCAATATATGCCTTTGTTGGCTTTTTGCCTCTCACCTTGTAGTGGATCCAAAATGGTCCGCAATAATCTACACCAGCATTAATGAAAGGTCTTGCAGGAATTATTCTTGATTCTGGTAAATTGCCCATAATTTGTTGGCATAATTGCGGACGTGCTTTGTTGCATCGAATGCATCGCTGAACTGTTGCTCGGGCTGTTGATTTACCTTTAATCGGCCAAAAACGTTGTCTTAGTATACTCAATAGTGCCTGCGGGCCACAGTGTTTGTTTTCTTCATGGAACATCACGAATAATAATTTTGCCAATGGATCATTGTATGGGATCAGCATTGTGTGTTTAGAATCGTATGGTAATGATGAGGCTTCTAAGCGTCCTCCTACTCTAAGAACATTTGCATTATCAATGAATTGAGATAAACTACTGATTGAACTAGATTAATCAGCATGGGCTTGTTTCTTCAGTTGTTTGATTTCTTCATGAAAATCATTACCCTGAATGTGACATATTATAGTTATTAATGCTGCATCCAATTCGTTGGCACTAAGTGCTGTATGTGTGGCACGTGACTCCTTTGATTTTCTTGCTTTGTTAGTGAATCTAAGAACATATGCTACTATCCTTTGTAACGTCTTTAAAGAATTCTTGTGCTGAATCCTGTATATGAAATCTGCGTCATTGCATTTAGTTGCTACAGCTACAACCTTCTTCTTCTCCAGATCAACTGGAACTTGTAATGATGATGAAAACCTTGGTGGCCATACTTCCTGCCTTCCATGCAAAAACCAAACTGCACATGTTGACAACGCCCTCGGTGACAGTCCTCTTGATAACACATCAGCTGGGTTGTCCTTTGACCTAACATGTCGCCACTGTTCTGACAGAGTTAAAGTTTGAATTCTTGCCACCCTGTTAGCTACAAATGTTTGAAATGACGAGGACTGTGAGTTGATCCAAGACAACACAATTTCTGAATCAGTCCACAAAAATACCGGCTGGTCCTTCTCTTGAAGATCGCTTTTCACTCTTGCTGAGAGTTCCGCTGCTAAGACTGCCGCACATAGTTCTAGTCGCGGTAGCGTTTGTTTTTTGAGTGGTGCTACTCTTGACTTTGCACATAATAGTCGCACTATTATTCTACCATCTTTTAAAATTGCTCTGACATATGCTGCAGCACCAAATGCCTTTTCAGATGCGTCAGCAAAAATATGTAGCTGTGTTGATGATGGAACCTCGCCTCTGAAGATATGTCTTGCCACCTGAAGATTTTCAAGAGTACTTAAGTTTTCTCTAAATGTTGACCATGTTGTACAAAGATCTGTAGGAAGTGGTTCATCCCAAGATAATTTCAACTGCCATAAGTGTTGTATGAAAATCTTTGCTTTCACTATTACTGGAGCTACTAACCCAAGTGGGTCGAACAGTCTAGCTAAATCAGAACTAACGACTCTCTTCGTGATTATTCCTTCAGTAACCATTTTGACCTTAATTCCAAATAAATCCGCCTTGGGCAACCAAAATAATCCCAGCGTTTTGATTGACTCGTTATTATCATTAGTAAAATCTAGATTTACTTCTTGATCATCTTGAGAAATGTTTTTCAAAAGTTGAGGATGGTTTGCACTCCATTTCCGTAGATAAAACTGATGCTTCTTTAAAATATGGATTAATTGCCTTTGAGCTTCAATAGCCGTAATTAAACTATCTGATCCACCGAGCCCATCGTCAACGTAGAAATTGTCACACAGGATTTGAGCTCCTAATGGATAATTCACCTTGTTTTCTGATGCTATCTTTTGCAGACATCTTGTTGCTAGGTAAGGAGCTGCTCGAGTCCCATATGTAATTGTGTTTAGCTGATAATAACGAATCGTTGAATTTGGACTGCTTCTCCAAATGATAAGTTGATAGCGTCGATCTTCAGGATTTATCAAAACTTGACGATACATTTTCTCGATATCTGTGGTAAAAACAAACCGTGGTCGCCTAAAACGGAGCAGAATTGAAAAGAGTTCACTGTGAACTGTCGGTCCGTTATACATTAAATCATTCAACGAGTATCCAGATGTAGTTTTGGCTGATGCGTCAAACACCACTCGAAGTTTAGTAGTTGTACTATCTGGTTTTAGTACACAATGATGAGGAATGAAATATCTTGGAGTCAACATGGAATCCAAGTTTACTTCAGTCATGTGATCCAATCGCTCATACTCTTCCATAAACTGGACATATTGTTTCCGCAAAACATCATTTTTTGCTAGTCGTCGTTCAAGACTGATGAACCTTCTCCAAGCTGTTTCTTGAGATTCCCCTAACGTCAATGAGTTTTCCAGAAACGGCAACCTTACCACAAAACGTCCTTCTTTATTTGTATGGACGTTCTGAACAAAATGAGATTCGCATAATTTTTCTTCTTTGAATAATGTCCTTTCTGTTGTATTCACCTCATCTATTCGCCATAATCGTTCTATTTGATCTTCTAACGATGAATTATTATCAACAGCCTTTTTTGGCGGTGGGGTGGAGGCTGTTGATGGTTGTAGCTGTAGTAACTCAAAGCAATGACGCAGATTTCATACACAGGATTCAGCATAAGAATTAATTTAAGTCGTTACAAAAGATAGTAGCATATGTTCTTAGATTCACTAACAACGCAAGAAAATCAAAGGAGTCACGTGCCACACATATAGTACTTAGTGCCAACGAATTTGATGCAGCATTAATAACTATAATATGTCACATTCAGGGTAATGATTTTCATGAAGAAATCAAACAACTGAAGAAACAAGCCCATGCTGATTAATCTAGTTCAATCAGTAGTTTATCTCCATTCATTGATAATGCAAATGTTCTTAGAGTAGGAGGACGCTTAGAAGCCTCATCATTACCATACGATTCTAAACACCCAATGCTGATCCCATACAATGATCCATTGGCAAAATTATTATTCGTGATGTTCCATGAAGAAAACAAACACTGTGGCCCGCAGGCACTATTGAGTATACTAAGACAACGTTTTTGGCCGATTAAAGGTAAATCAACAGCCTCCACCCCACCGCCAAAAACTGCACATAAAACGTTTGATGTGTCTGTATTTGATGCAACCTTGCCACTGACAATCCAGCCAAGTGTAGAGTTTTGCAAGACTGGAAGTCCAGGAGCAAGCGTGATTTTACCCTTTTTTAACAGACTGAAATAGAACTCCGCACCGAGTAAAATATCAATTTTCCCTTGTTGGAAAAATGTTGGATCTGCTAACTGAATGCTGTTCGGGACCTTCCATTTGGAAATATCGTAGCTGCAACTTGGTTGAGGTGGAACTATATTTGGAAGCACAAACGCATCGACTTCTGTAGTAAACCTTGAGTTAAGTGATTGCAATTTGATGTTAACTCGCTGCGTTGAATTTTTTTGCACCTTTCCTATACCTTTTATGCACAACAACGATTTTGTTTTTGATATATTGAGCCTTTTGACAAGACGCTCAGAGACTATGTTCACTTGCGAACCAGAGTCTAGTAATGCTCGGACTTCACTTGTATTTCCATTAGATGCAATTATTTTGACTCTTGCAGTTGGCAAGAGAACATAATCACGATGACCTGTGGATGTGTTTGCTGTCGCTGTGGTAACTGCGGTGTTGTACCCACTTGAGCTAAGTTGAATGTTCTGTTTTGTAACTTCCAAATGTAGCAACGTGTTTTGCTTTTTATTACATTTGGTACAACTTCTTGATGAACATTTGTTCACCACATGATCATTTCTGAAACAGTTAAAACAGAGCTGTTGATTTTTCACCCAATCCAATCGTTGAGATGGTGAAAATTGCAAAAATTTACGGCAATGATACAGTGGGTGCCTGTCTACATTGCACAGTTTGCAAGTGTTGTTTCCTTTAGAAACTGTTACAGCCGATGACACTGAGTTATTTCGATTTGCTTTAGTTTTTATAGCCACCTTATCTTTTTGTTCTACAACTTCCATCAGTTGAAACTGTAGTTCTAAAAAGGCTAAAAACTCCTGAATGTTTTGTATCTCTTTTGGTTTTGCCAGAGATTGCTCATATCTAATGAGCATCGTCCGATCGAGTTTTTTAATTAGTACCTGTAACAAAATTGGGTCCCAAAATGTCGTTTGAACGCCAAGATTGTTTAGTGCTAATAGACACTCTTTCGTTGTGTCATGTAAATTTTTAACTGCTGCCACAGTTGATGTGCCTGATGGCTGATTTAGAAGTTCATCGATTAATGTGGACGCCAAGACCCTTTTATTATTATAACGGTCTTGCAGTAATGTCCAAGCTGCCGAATAATTGTCCTCCGTTATGCTGAAATGACTTATCAATTTTTCAGCTTCACCTGTCACATGTGATTTCAAGTACCACATTTTTTGAGCAGCTGGTAGTTGCTGATTGTCTACCATTTGTGTAAACAAGTCAAAAAATTGCCTCCATTTTAAGTAATTCCCATTAAAAGTTGGGATTGTTACCTTTGGCAATGGCAGTGAGGACCGCATGTTTGGTTCTGCTACTGTTGCTTGTTTCTGTTGTAATTGATCCAATTTTATGGACAACTCTATCAAACATTGTTGTACCAAATCTTCATTTTGGTAATACTCATCTTGATTGAATCCTGACATCAGTGGATTTTCAAAGTTCTCTACAAGCTCTCTACAAATCTTTTTAAAGCTGCCATTCGAGCGGATATTTTTCTTATCAAACCATTTGTCGTAGCCACTAGTTGCGGCTGTGATGCCATTTGGTTACTAACATCTCACCAAAGTTGTCTGCTGCTTTGATTGTTGCCATCGTTATTCTGAAGTTTTTGCCAAATGTGCTTAAGAATGTTCTTCGAATGCTGAATGCTGAAACTTAACCGCTGACTGTTGATTGTTGACTGTTGCTGCGTCAAACCAGTCCTGTGCTGCTGTCCGTTTCACGGGGTCACCAAAATGTACGATCACACCAAAATGTATGATCACACGCTGAATCAAAGGTTGAAATCAACTGTTTGCAAGTACTGAACTCTTAAATCCAGTACTTATGTTGACTTATTTGAACACGAGAACCACTGAGCACTTGAACCCAGTGATTTGAAGATTGTCCTAAATTATCCTGATTACTGAACACTTGAATCCAGTAGTCAGGTGCTTATATGGTGTAAATTTAGCACTTGTACCAAATCTACAATCTATTAGAACGAACAAAAAAGAATCGATAACGAATGTGGCTTCGCATCAATTGAATTGTCAAAAATTCAATTGTGCCTTTTATTTAAAATTGATAATTAATTTACAACAAATAAATTAACTAAAATAACCTTGACCATACATG